TATCGATTCTTGGAATTTCCAGGGCTAAAAAATCCCAATTCAAAGGTTCCATCTGATGAAATAATGGTCTCACCATCTCTAAGAATTTGTGTAGTAGTTATAGTATCTATTGCATTGGAAAGCTTTGGTAAAGACATGAACAGGGTTAAAACAAAAAGTAAGGGGAAATCTTTATTCGACATCTTCGTGGTTCTAGTTCTGCCTATGTCGGTCTGTTCTTCTTATTTGATAGAATTGATCTGCAAGCACTTAACAGAAGCATTGTTCATATTGACTGAACATGAGGTCCATGTCCACTTCTTAGTTTCTGTTGATAGCACAGAAAAGTCATCCAATTGTCAATCTGAAGTATTATAAGGTGTAGAATATGCTTCAAAATTCTACGCATGATGAGATTTGATGAGGACGTTGTTTTAATTGATAGTGATATAACAAGTCAATGTGAATGCCGGAAATATAGAAACGTTTACTAGTCTTTGATATATGGACTGTTCCCCTTTCCTGTTTCCATTAATATTGACTTTGAATAGTGAGATCTTTCTATTTATGGTTGCCGAGTCAGTTTACATTGAGTGAAATATCAACTATACTTTTTGATAGGTGTGGTTTTTATACTTATTCGAAACGTTAAATCGTGATATTTTACTATCTTTTGAATAAAATTCAACCTAATTTATATTAAATTTTATTTTGTAGGCAAAACTTTATGTTTAATGAAGAATTGAAGAAAAGAATACAAAATAACGAAAAAAATGACAAAAGTTCAAATTACGGGGACTTAATTATTGGAGGCAAAGTTTGAAGATTAAAGTTCGTATTTTGAAAAGTGAAAGGCTTGCTTTGAAGAAAATAATACATTGGGTAATTGACACAAAACGTCCTTACCTTTGAAATTTTTTGTGAAAAATGTCCATACCTTACGTTTTTCTGGCACAGAACGTCCCCGCCTTTCACATTCTTTGCGCTTAACGTCCTTTCCACATAAAATGACCATTATATCCTCCTATATAATGACCATTATATCCTCCTATATAAATAAAACAAAAAAGAATAGAAAAGAAAAATAAAGAATAAATTGCAATCTGGTCCTAACAAATTTATACATTGTGATTGTACCTTCAATCTAAATAACACAAAGACAATATTCTTGTAATCA